GGGCTGAGAGAGCTCTGACACAAACTGCTCTTTTTCAAGGACAGCTGTGCCAGAGCTTGTGACTGACCCAAGGTCACATCAGCAGGTGCAAGTGGAGGAGTGGGGAATCAAACCTGGTTCTCCCAGATTAGAGTCCGCGCACTTAACCACTACACCAAACTGGTTTCGAGGTGCCCTACGGGAGATTATTAACAAGTCCCTCTTGGAGGGGCTGTTCCCTGGGCACTCAAGGAAGCGATGGTCCGCCCTCTCTTGAAAAAAACATCTCTGGACCCGACCGAATTGGCCAACTATCGGCTGGTGTCCAATTTGCCCTATTTGGGCAAACGTATTGAGAGGGCGGTGGTGATACAGCTACAGAGTTTTCTGGAGGATGCTTCAGTCTTAGACCCCTTCCAGTCCAGCTTTCACCCGGGTCATGGGACGGAGATGGCATTGATCCGCCCTGACTGACGACCTCTGAAGGCATCTGGACTGAGGTGGTGTGGCTGCACTGTTGTTGCTCGATCTGTCGGCCGCCTTTGATATGGTCGACCACCAGTTGCTGGCCCACTGCCTCGCCAATGCGGAGATTCAGAGGCTTGCCCTTCAATGGTTTGCTTCTTTTCTCCAAGGTCAGGGACAAAGGGTGGTGATAGGGGATCGGCGGTCCCGGAGGCACCCTCTTGATTGTGGGGTGCCTCAGGGGGCAGTGCTGTCCCCGATGTTGTTTAACATCTACATGCGCCCCCTTGCCCAGATTGCCAGGAGGTATGGGCTTGGGTGTTATCAATATGCGGATGACATCCAGCTCTATCTAATGCTGGGCGGTCGGTCGAACTCCGACTCAGATGACCTTCAATGGGCATTGCAAGCCATGGCTGGTTGGCTCAGACTGAGTCGGCTGAAACTAAACCCGGCAAAGACGGAGGTCCTGGACCTAGGTTGGGGTGGTTCAGGGTTGGGACTCCCTCTCCTGACCTTCGATGGGGCGCCTTTGGTGCCAGGGTCAGAGATTAGGAGTTTGGGAGTGCTCCTGGACTCCTCTTTAACTATGGAGGCCCAGGTAGCAGCCACTGCCAAGTCGGCCTTTTATCATCTTCGGCTGGCACGGCAGTTGGTTCCCTTCCTTAACCGTGATGACCTGGCTGCAGTGATCCATGCGATGGTCACCTCAAGGCTGGACTACTGTAACACTCTCTACTTGGGGCTGCCTTTTCGCAAATCCAGAAGCTGCAGCTAGTGCAGAATGCAGCAGCCAGGCTGTTGATGGGTCTCCCTAGGCGGGACCACATCCGGCCTGTGCTGAAGGTGCTGCAGTGGATGCCAATAGCGTACCGGATCCACTTCAAAGTGCTGGTTCTTACCTTTAAAGCCCTTTATGGTCAGGGTCCGGCATACCTAAGGGACCACCTTTCCCCATATGTTTTCCCAAGGGCACTACGGTTGGGGGGCCAACATCTTTTGACTACCTCAGGGATGTCAAATTCACTGAGACTAGGGCCAGGGCCTTTTCGGTGGCAGCTCCTACCTGGTGGAATGAGCTCCTGGAGGAGATCCGGGCCCTGTGGGATTTTACGCTGTTCCGCAGGGCCTGCAAGACAGAGCTCCTCGCCAGGCTTTCAAGTAGGCGCTCCTGCCGCTACAGTTCCACCAATGCACCGCCGCTGAAAATTGGCGAAGATACCATCAGGGTGCAAGCGGGCCCTGGGAAGAAGACTGGTTATCTGCCATTTTGGAACTTACGTCGTTGGTCTGGAGGAACCCATCTTGGAACTGGGAACATCAGAGCACCAGCACTTTGTTGTATTATTGTTATGTTTTTATTCTGTTTTTAATTGTTTTAAATATGGCTTTTGCCCCAATTGTTAGCCTCCCTGAGCCTTAGGGGAGGGTGGGATATAAATCGAATTATAAATAAATAAATGGTAAAACAACAAATTGGAAAAGTGGATCTCAAACATTAAATGTGTCCACTCTTGGAACTGTGTTCTCACACAACAATACTGGCCTGGGAATCACTACAGGGCCACTCCTTCCGATGCCACTGGAGTAATGTGAGAAACCCTGGGCCATGTGGGAGGAGTCCATGCTGTGGTTTCTTCTTACACCCTCATTGCTGCAGTGACCAGGAGGACAATGCTGCCATGGGGAGGAGTCAAAGTGTGGCCCATTGTGCCACAATATACTCTGGTGCTGTGGAAAGACGCTTAATTTCCCACATCTTCTGCTTCTGAGACCAGGTTCTTCGGCTATCTTCTAATGACTAATCCTTTCTTCCTGACTCAACCCTGTTCTTCATTCCTACTATTCCTTCCTCCCCAGTCGGGAATGTACTAGATTAGTAATTACATCCTGACCCATTTAGACTGAGATTGTAGATAAATTTACTTGTACCAGTCCAATCGAGACCAGTGGGTCTTCTTTTGACACTTAGCATTGGGGGACATCAGAGCAGCACAAAACCCACTTCCTTGGAAGTACATACTACATTCTATCCATTCAATAAGAATCATTGCTACCTACTGTGAATACTATTCCTTCTAAAACTATGTATTGAAGTTTTACTTTGTTCTCACAATAGCACTGCGAGGAAGGCTGCTATGATTCCATAACAGGGGAATGAGGCTGCTGCTGAGAGAGCAAGCATAAGCACATTGTGAATAAGCATAAGCATATCCCCTCTCCTCAGGGTTGTCTCCCCAGCTTCCATGGTTTCCCCAGATGAAAGGGAAGTGAGGAGGAGGCCCTCACTCCAGCCTCAGAATTGGGAAGGAGAAGGGGTTCTAGCCCCTGGTCATCATCCTTCCTTGGTCTGGCTCTCTCTGGCCTTCTCTCTCTCTCCTTCTAGGAGCTCTGTCCCTTCCTTCTTCCCTGACCTGATGTGGTGCCTTCCCTTTTATGGGAACCCCTGGCCCCACCCCCACCTGGTCAATCCCCTTCCTCCTGCTCCCCCCCCCCCAGGCTGTAAAAGGGAAGGGAAGCCTGCCCTGCCTCTTCACCCTGCTGCCTGTCTCCCTGCCCCGATCCTCGCCCTTGCTGCTCAGGGCTGCCTCCCTTGTCTTCTGACCATGCTCCTCCCTGCTGCTGCCTGGCTCCCAGCCCTGTGCTCAGCTATGTCTGAATGACCTGCCTGGGTCCCAGTGGCCTCTTTCTCCCAGCCTTCTCCTCTCATGGGTGAGTCAGAGATCCCAGCCACCCCCAGCTCTAGCAGCCTGTGTGGGGCTGAGTCAGGACCAGGCATCAGCTCCCAACAGGTACAGACTCAGAATCCTTCTCAGGATTCCCAGGAAAGGGTCCTTAGGATGGAATTGTACCTGGTACATAAGGTTATGCAGGATACCACCACATCTATTGAACCACACCAGAATGGCCCTCATTTGATTCCATGACATGACAGCATGGTGAAACTAGATTAAGTCCAATGGTGTTTGTGTAACTAGCACTATGTGGATGGGGTGTGTGTGTGTGTGTAGAGATGCTATGGCCACAGGTGCGTGCAGATACGTATTGAACAGGATTGGCTGAAGCTGCTTTCCAGTGTATACTATCCAGAGGAATCCCAGTTTTCCTTGTACAATGTGTGAAAGGGCCTCTGGTACAATCTCAGCTCCTAGACTGCTTGCTGCTGACACTGTGGGCAGGTGACTAGGATGCCAACAACCTGTGGTTAATCGAGCCCTGCTCTCTCCGGGGGCATTGCCCTGACTGCCTTTGTTGCTCCTTTGCCATCCCTTCTCGCACTGCTCTCTGCCTAGCTTTCCCACGCGACTCCCCCTCTCCTGCCCCTCGTGACTCTGCTTCTCTCCTCTCCTGCCCAGTCCACGTGTCCCTTTACCTGCTCTCTTCTGCCTCCTTCTCCCTTTCCTCTCTCTCCCCTCCCCCTCCCTCCGCCCCGCTTGGCGCGTCTGGCGCCTCTGTTGCCCGTCCCCTCCGTTGCGTCGGTCGCTTGCTCTGCCTTCGCCTGCCTTTTACTACACGCGTCTCCCCTCCTCCCCCTCCGCCTCGCGGCGGCTGAGCCTGGGCTCCGAGGGCAGCGCTCCATGTGCGCTTGGAGAGCTTTGCGCCCTGCCCTCGGCTCGGTCATTTACGTCAGACTGCGAGCTCCTGGAGCCTCCTGCCTTTCCTTCCTCACTCTCGAGCCACACAGGGGCTGCAGCCCAGCCACCTGCTACCGCCTCCCTCTGCTCCTGCCCGCCAAAGGCAAAGAGGGGACGCAACTCCGACCACGCCACAGAACCCGCGACGGCTGGCCAAGGCAGAAGCAGCACCCATGAGAAGCAGCTTTCAACCTTGATACCGAGTAAGAAGCGGGGTGTGTGTGTGTGTGGGGGGGGGAGCTACAACCCACCAGGGGTTGGTTGGCATTGGCAAAGGGAAGGGAAGGGACACGGCGCGGGGCTCGGCTGGACCTTCAAGTGGCAGCTTTAGCGCGGGGGTCCAGCCATCCGCCTGACTTCGCAGTCTGAGGGCTCAAGTTATTGTCCTGCTGGGGCGGAAAGCAACGCTTTGCTTTCAGCACCACGGACAGAGCCTCTCCACTTTAGCCGGCTAGACTCCGTTGAGGCACCAGATATTAACCAATTTTCGGCTTGGGGGTGGCGGGTGGGCATGCAACTCATGGATCTGATAAAGTGGGTCGTGAAAGTTTACCATAGCAAACCCACTCGCCTTTAAGGTGCTACAAGACTCCTTTTTTGCTTTTGCAAAGCAGGCTAACACAGTTAATCCCCTCTGGAATTTCTCTTCATGGGTTTCCTCTTTATGTCCTTCGGATTTCTACTTACAGCTACAGCATCATTCCCATTTTTCCCACTTTCCTTGGACATGTTTTCTTCCCCTTTCTCTTGAATCCCCCCCCTCCTTCACCCTTTAAAGTATTATGTCCCATCCTTCTCTCATACTTTCAATTTGTTCATAGACTGTGGTGGGCCTGGGGTTACTTATACTTTGTTTTCATTTTTAACATTTCATTTTCTCCTTTCTTCTTCTTGCAGGTGGCATACCTGGCTGTGGCCAAGATGAATGAAAGCATTTCTTTGAATGAAACCAGGGCTCCTGTACCCTGGATTCATACCAGCCATGGCAATTCTACTTTGGAGCTCTCCAGCGAGCTCCCCATCTTTGTCATCAACCCCTGGGATATTATGCTCTGCATCTCTGGAACCATCATTGCCTGTGAGAATGCTATAGTCGTGGCCATCATATTCTATACTCCAAACCTGAGAACCCCAATGTTTGTGCTGATTGGGAGCTTGGCCACAGCAGACCTACTGGCTGGAGTTGGCCTGATCCTCAATTTTGTTTTCCATTATGTGATCCGGTCAGAAACCATCAGCCTTGTTACAGTTGGCTTCCTAGTTGCCTCTTTTACTGCTTCGGTGAGCAGCTTATTGGCCATCACAGTTGATCGCTACCTTTCCCTATACAATGCACTGACTTATTACTCTGAGAAGACTGTCCTCTGTATTCATATGATGCTGATCATCACCTGGGGGGTATCCCTCTGTTTAGGACTGCTACCTGTCTTAGGCTGGAACTGTCTGGAAGATTATTCATCGTGCAGTATTGTCAAACCTCTGACCAAAAGTAATGTGACTTTGCTGGCTGCCTCTTTCTTTTTCATTTTTATCCTTATGCTCCATCTGTACATTAAAATCTGCAAAATAGTTTGCAGGCATGCACACCAGATAGCGCTCCAACAGCACTTTCTAACAGCATCACACTATGTTGCAACCAAAAAAGGAGTCTCTACCCTTGCTATAATACTTGGGACCTTTGGAGCCAGTTGGTTACCTTTTGCCATCTACTGTGTAGTTGGAGATTCCAGCTACCCTGCTGTGTACACTTATGCCACACTTCTACCTGCCACCTACAACTCCATGATTAATCCTATCATTTATGCCTACAGAAACCAAGAAATTCAAAGATCTATGTGGGTTCTTTTTTGTGGTTGCTTTCAGTCTAAAGTGTCCTTTCGTTCAAGATCCCCCAGTGATGTCTAAGTGACTTCTTTCTGTGTGACAATCTTGACTTTTGTGAATTACAGTGCCTGGTATGAGCCAGATCCATGTTGTGAAGTTGTTTGGGGGGAGGGGGAATGTTTAAACAGTAGCACTTTATGTATGTGTTTTCTTGAGAATGTAAAAAGTCTGGGGCTTTTGGTTGTGGGAAACAAAGTGTGGTTGCATATGAGACTGTACATCACATTTGTTAAGTGGAGGCATTCCAAGACTACGTAATTATAGCACTTTATTTTTAGCTGCTGAACTGCCAAAACAGTGTTGCCATTTTTAAAGGGCAGATAGAAAGGAAGTGAAATATTGTCTGGTTATTTTGGGATATGAATGATAATATATTTTGCTGCACAGTATTGATAAATTATGACATTTTGTACACAAATAAACAGACCCATTACATATTTTTATTTGGTGTGTTGAACTGATTGAATAACCTTTAAGAGCCAGAGAAACCTTCCATGCTGCCTCTCTTTTATTTACTTGGGAAACCACTGGGTTCATCCCCCCTAGTGAAATTAGTTTACTTACACAGAGAACCATGTCATAAAACACATGTTAAAATATACTGATTTATTTGTTTCTTCCTATTGATTAGTAATTCATTTCCTAGGGAAATAAAACCAGTTATGTACGCTGTAGAATACTGTTTCTTTTACAGTCCTCCAAATTCTTCATTTTTTAATTCAGAGGTTAAAGATTCAAATAGAAATGCTTCAAGAAAGGAAACCAGATCCAAGGTATTCTTCTTGCTGTCAAGTGAAGATGGCGAACTTCTGGGAACACATGTTGCTTTTGAAATGCAGAAGAACTGAGGCAAACTTTAATTCATTTCAGGGGAGTTGGCACAGGAGAAGATTCCTGCGTATTCCCATTTGTCCTTGTTTAGTCTGGATTTAGGATTTCTCCTGAGAAGTCTGTGAATGAATAAACTGGCTGACAGGATTTGGAAGCCCTTTTTTGTCCCTTTATCTGACTGGTTATTCAGACCTCGCACACAGCTTTGCTGTTTGCATGTCTGGGGCCATACTGTGATAGCCTGTTCACTTACTGAAAATTAGGTTTTGTTAGGAGCCTAGCAACAGGTGACTATTACAGCTCAGCCTGGAGGAACTTCCTCATCTGAATCAAAATTAATAAATTTTGACCCTTAATACTACATTGTTATGCAGTATTATTTCTATATTTTAAATATCCCTGAGCAATGGAACCATTTGCCAAAACAAGACTGTTTAAATATTGCAACATACTAGTTTTCCTAAAATATTTTGAAAAGCAGATACCATCCACTTTTCAATGTTCTTGAAACTGTTTTAGCTTGGGTTCCATATTCTAAAACAGGGATAGTCATCAATTCTTTCAAAGCTTTCATTCTGCAATAGCAGCTTCAAGTAGCAGCTAATTGTAATAACATTCTGATCCACCAACATTAAATGAGGATCATATATCATCTAAGTTTTTCAGTTACAATGTTAGAAACATCTGAGAACTGTGACAAAATGTTCTATTCCTGTGAAAGCAATTTGCACGTGGAAACAGGTGTTCATGTACAGGTCCAGGACAGCTTGGGCTTCAGAATCCAGTTGTATATGAGGAAAATGTTTCTGGGTTCAATGACTGGACTGTGTGTATTTTCTGAAGAAATAGCAGTGTCTCATTCTGAGAGCCCTGAGCTCATACAATGCCAACTACCTGCTTGGAGGGAGGAGGTTAAAAAGGTGCCTGCATGGAGTCTGGCAACCACCAAGCTGCTGAACAGGTGAATAGCACATAGCCAGAAGTTTCTAGATAAGACAGGATAACAGAACCCTGTGAGAGCACTCCTGTTTTTGTGATTCCTGAAATAGGTATGAAGGAGAATTACGGTTTGAATTAAGTATTACTGATATTAGATTTGGTATTTTTATTACCTTCTACAGAACTACAACATTTGACAACCAATGCTCTAAAGCCAAAATAAAGCACAATTATTTCCACTGGCATCAGTGGGGGAATTACACATATGCTTAACACTATCCCATTGAAATCAATGAGATATTTGTTCATATTTGTCTGGATTGTACCCATCCATAATCTTAATCATAAAACAACCCTGATACTAATGAGATTGTGGAATATAGCATGCAACAAGCCAGAGCCCTGCATGTACTTAAATGAGAAACACAGAATCCCAAACACAGAAGTGGACAGCTCCATGTGTGCAAAGGATGTGAATGATGCATGGCCAATGATTGGGGGGGGGGGGCTGGGGAGGACAGAATTCAGGGGACCCATCATCTGGAGGGCCCCTGAAGTCAGAGTCATGCGGCATCCATCCAAATGCCTTTCCAGTGATTTCCCTTTTGATGTAGTTCTGGCTGCAGCCACTAGAGAAGCAGGGAAGTCTGAGCACAGTAAATGTCTCTCTAATATCGGCTAGACTTGCCTTTTTGCAAGAATGAAGCAAATTTGCCTAACAGATCATGCTAAGTCCATCAACCAAGCCAGCACTAGAGCAAGACAAGACAGTATGTTGATGGGTGCCCCAGTCACTGTCAGCCTGCTAATAAGATCATTTTCTATAATAGCCTAGCCTTTCTCTCTTCCTTTTCCTTGCACCCAACTCAGCCAGATCTTGCAAAGCAGTACTTAGTGTGTTGCAGTGAAACATTTCCCTCTCTTTTCCTTAATTTCTCTCCCTCTTTTCCACACTTCTATTCATTTCTCTCTTCCTCCATCTAATTTTGAATGTACTTAATAGCGGGACAGCAGCAAACCTTTGTTAATATTATGACCAGAAAGGGGGAGGGGAGTTAATATTTCCCAATGATGTAACAAAGTAGTAAAAGGATGTTTCCCCCAATGGAACATTAATCTGTTTTAATGGTTTTACATGTACAGAAGTTAGAATTCCCAGTTCAGGCACTGAGTTGTTATCAGTATTATTATTGTATTGGTAGAAGATCTAGTAGCCCTTTGTAAGGGCTACTTTGCTATATGATAAATGATGTAATCTTTTAAATATTATTAAAAATTAGATTGATAATAAATACCATACCCAGACTTCCTCCCCAATGGGGTCCCAAAGCTTAATTGTTCTCTTGTCCTCCGTTTTTCCTCACAACAACCCTGTGAGGTGGGTCCATCTGAGTGTGTCACCCAGGAACCTTCCCTGGCAGTTTGGGGATCTGAGTAGTACAGACCCATGACATGTTGCTTAAAAGCTCTCTTATTATATGTTGCCTATCTTAAAGTTAACCTGGTTCAGGGTGTTTCAGTTCCATTCATTTTTGGCACTGCGACTTCCATCATTATTCTGGGGTTTGTGGCCAGTTTTCAAACATGTAGCTGAGTTACACCTGCCACAAACAGAGTCCCTTAGCTTCCATTGCAAATAGCACAGGATGTTGGTGATTTGTCTTATCTGGACATGGCTTTCCCATGGCTTTCAATTTTGGTTCTGGAACTCCCACAGTCATACTGAAGTTGTGGCCAATTTTGTGTCTCCTAGCTTTTATTCTCTGCCTGCCAGTAGGGTGTAGTGGTTAAAGTTTTGGGTTAGGATCTGGGAAATCCAGAATTGAATCCCCACTCATGCCATGAAAGTTCGCTGGGTGACCTTGGACCAGTCACACAACTCTTAGTCTAACTTACCTCACAGGATTGTTGTGAGGATAAAATGGAGAAGAAGAGAATGATGTTTTGGGCTCCCATTGAAGATATTGGGCTCCCATTGAATATATTAAACCTTCACTGTTGGCTTTGGAAGGCTTATTTCTCATTTATTTCTGCTGCACTATGTTAAAGTAAAAGAGGTTTCTCCACTGCCATCCAACAAGCAGAATCCACATGTTATTAGACACTGTGCTATTCTAGACATTCACCTTCGAGATTTTTGTTTCCAGATGGGAAAATCCTGGAGGTGAATGATTACAATAGAACAATATTCAGTTGCAAGTGGATCTCCCTCTAGTGTCCATTCATGGTACTGCTGTATTTGTGATGAGAGCTGAACAAACATAATAAATCAGGAGTACAGTGGCGCCTTGAAAACTAATGAAATTTATATCACAGCATGTAGAATTACAAAGGTAAGTGGTTTGCACTCATGGCCCTTCATTGTCCAGGGCCATGAGAATGTGCTTACTGGTGGTCACTAGTTGCACAGCAGGATGAGCAAGGAAAAACTATGTCCAGGTCCTCTCCTTCCCCTTCTAACCTGAAGGCAGCCTAACAGTTAAGACTGACAAGAGTGTCTCCAAATATCTTGTTGCAGTTTAATAAATTGGAGTTATTAATGTATATCCCACCTTGCTGCAAAAACAAGTCTTCAGGGTAAGTAACAACACCACTGAAATAAAATATAAGCTATAATTTAAACCACAATGACTAAAAGAACCACCAAACAGAACACCTACAAAGTCAGCAAGCAGCCCCCCCCCAGCTCCCCTAAAGAGGTGACTGTCTTCTTCATGGATGGCCTTTTATCCAGAAAAATGTACACGGTTAGCCTGCTGATGCTTTATATGGCTTATAAACGGTATAGCTGGACTGTACAAACTGTGGGCCAAGGGAAATGGACTACACGGTGCCCATGAGACAATGCTGACTTACTGGATCGAAGACATGTGCCCAGCCAAGGGAAACCTTGTACTGAAGCAGCATGTTAGACCAGATGTGGACCCATGGAACACCCGATGTCACCCATCCCTGCATCCCCAAGGACACTGCAGACCCGGGAAGATGGCAAGCCAGCCGCCCTGATCCTGCTCACACAGAGATCCAGCATCAGTTCCAGAAGAGAAGCCATACTCAGCTACGACAACCAGGAATATTCCTGCCAAGACACCATGAAAAGCTCTCTTCTCCCCCACCTCTTGCATATTGACATCCCCAGGTGAAGCACGTATGCAGCCTCAACCTAAAGAAAAGAAGCTCCCACCATGATTGGATTAGGAAGCAAGTCCATCTGCCAGCCACCCATCCTGATGATGATGCTGTTTAAACAT